TTGTGTTAGAGTAATGTCATAAGCCGCCGCCGTCAATACCGTCGGTAGCTCGTAGCCGCTGCCTTCGGCCGCCACCGCAGCCGCCGCTCATCGCTACTTATCGCTTGTCATCGGGCGACCACTGTCTACTTTACTAGATTTATTTCAGATTATTTTTCAGTTCAAACCAAGCAATAAAATAAAGGATTCATTATGCAATTTTGAACTTTGGCAGAACAATTAAGAGGAAAATTTGTCATATATTTTTATTTGTGAACCATTTTTACAGTCCATTTAATCAAATATTGATATTTGGAGTATAAAATATAGATTTTTTTTGGACTATATATGATTTATTTTTTTTATAAAAATAAAAAAAATAAAAAAAATCCAAGTGGATGATGCCGGCCATAAGGCATGTTTTGCGGCCATAAATTAAAGTGACGATTTAAAATTATTTATTTATATGTCCTGTTCTGCATATCTGAATGGTAGATTTGTAAAATCTAAGTTCTGCAGGGGTGAAAATTAAACTGTAAATAATGTATTGGATTATTTACCTACATAGCACACAATTTTTTGTTATTTACATTTCTAACAACCAAAATTTGATATTTACACTTAACCTATGCATGAAAAGATGTATTTTTTTCCTTTTTTTATAAGAAAGTGATGATTGTATTTTTAATATGATCAAAACTATTTTCCTAGTAGACTTGAAAAAATCATAGAGCTCAGATAATTGATGTTGGGGACCATCATCAACGACTATTATCACTCAACGGTAGTCTCCCAACTATTAGCATCAAACCGTCATCTCTTTAGTACTTCTCCAACCACTGTTGTTTTCTGCCAATTGATGTCTAGGATCGAATACATTTGACTGCGTTGCTGATCTTTTTACCAACATCGACATTAATAAGCTTTTATTATTTCTTAAGCATTTTCATTACTTTGATGGAAGGCTATGTTGACAGTCTAGACATTATAATCACATTTTCGATTAGAGAGGAGAGTAGGATGGGCTTCAATTGTGTTCCCTGATCAATGAATTATTTCAACTAGGTCATGCTTAATAGTTTTCACTTCTTACATTTTCTATATGAAAAACTCATTTATCTTTTAAAAGCATCTAATATCTATTTATTTGGAGTTTTGCACATTATTGAAATGATGTGTTTATGTTGTATTAGCATGCAACAACTTGACATTATTTGCGATGAACACTCTTTGAATGGAAAAAACTATTGCATCAGGAGTCCTGATGCGGTTTTGTATCAGGACTCCAGTCAGGACATAACACATGTACAGGTAGACCCACTTTAGTAAAAAAAATAAATTAAATTAATACATGGGTGAGCCTACCTCTACACGTGATAGGTCCTGACTGGAGTTTTGATGCAAAACTGCATCAAGACTCCTGTTGCAATAATTTTTCCTTAGAATGAAGCACACGCTTAGCTATGGACTTGAAAAGATATTCAAGTCAATGTCTTGGATAAGTTCATAACGAGGTCATTGTATCAACTTTTGATGTATTAGTTCAACATAATGCAAGTTAATATTGAGGGCAACTTTGAATATAACTTCAAAAAGATATTTACATTTAACGATTAGATAACTTCCCTCTGTCATTCGATGACATCTTAATTATGAGGGAACCAACACCAACACTCTATATCAACAAGGTTGTATACAATGCCATCAATATCGTTGATGTTTATTATCATCAAAGGTTTAAAACTCTCATAGACACCTTAGTCACTACTAACCATTGCCAACAAATCCAACGCATCGCCAACACCAATAATGATGATGCCCATCAACACCAGCATGACCATCATTGATTATTATGAAAATTGTCAGTGTATATTGTCGATAATATAGACTCGCATTATCACTCTTAAGGCATGCACAAAGTATCAACATCAACACATATGCATATATTCTAAAAAAGACATCACCCATTGTCACCAATAATATCAAAACTCATCATTGCCCACAAGTTGATGAACCAATCAACACTAATGTTGATGGCCACCAATGCCAATAAGGCTATGTCACTTACCATTGATCAATATCAGCCCCCAACATTAGCAATACAATTGACAAATGACATTGACACTTAATATGATGCGCATTGCCTCTAACAATGTTGACATACATCTTTAATACAAGTCATCACCCATTTATAATTTTTGACTTATATTAGTATAATTATTTTTATTGTTTCTCTCTCTATTGTTGCTCTTTTCTCTCTCTACAGTTGTTCTTTTCTCTCTCTACAAAGTTGACATAGATTGCGTGTGCAGTCAACGTTGACCATATCGAATTGTCTGCTTTTTAAGCTAAGCTAAATTAAAATTAGTCAACGTTGACTTAGGAAAAAAAAAACATTTACTAGCATAAAATGTATGGGTTATAAATTTAGTTATGGAGATGGGATTAAATTTGAATTGAAAAATGAATCAATTTAAATGTGGCCAAAGTAAAATTTAAGGATAATTTACATGCAAAACATTTAAAATTTCTTTATTTACATATCCACATATAAATTTTATCTACTTTCCCAAAGAGAAGAATATAGCTCAATTGGCACCATATGGTTCATTCGCCTTGACACGCATTGATGAAACACTCGGTCGCTTTCATGTCCTTAGAGATGATAGGTTTCATTTTGTACGTCCCTAATAGGCCTATCGCCACCAAATGCCGCCAATCACTCGCGATCGCGAATCATATTTCAATGCATAAACCCTAGAAAACAAACGAGAATAAATATACATAATTTTAATAACATATAAAAAATATCATTATTTTAACTTTAAAAAAGCAAAATACATCATTTTATTCATAGGTGGAGTGACATAACACGTAAAAATTAAAGGTATAGGTCTTAAATATGTTAATAAATTAGAATTGAGGGGTATAAATGTAAAATTGTGGTATGCATGTAAACTCCCCATTAATAAAATGGATTTACATCCAAACAAACAACTCCATTCTTTTAAAATGCATTCATTCAAATTAGCTTATATTTTTAAAACAAATAGAGTTTTCACTTGGCCATACTAACAAAATACATATTTTTCATGCATAAATTTATAACACAGAAGGGTTATAAATCTAAATACAAATTACAAGGGGTTAGATATGCAAATACATAAGAATTGTGTGGTATGTATGAAATTGAAAACCTCATAATCAATCCATATTAACTACAAGAAGGGTTGGTGGAACGTTTAGTATTTACAATAACATGAATAGATTTGGTCCACAGTCTCCCACCATTGTCTTCTACCTCCATTAATAAAAAAAAAATTAGCCTGGTTTCTATCAATTCTTTCCTCCTGAAGCAAAATTTACTTATCTCCTCCTCCTCCACCAAACATCCCACCCATCATATCTTTGGATCCCATCTGCTTCATGAGGCTCTGTAAACCCCCCATCCCCCCAATCTGCTTCAGCATCTGAGGAGGAAGGACTTTGCTCATGTGCTGAACATTCATGTTGCGCGACAAGGCGCTCATCTCCCCCTTCTTAGGGATCTTCAGACCTTTCATCTGACTCCACACCTTCGCGAGCCGCTTGTACTCTTCCAACATCTCAACGACTTCCCTGATGGTTCGGCCGGAACCTCGCGCTATCCTCAGGGCTCTCGAATCATTGAAGATCTTCGGGTTCGTGCTGTCCAGCTCTGCATTTAATTAATCAATACAGTCATACAAGACATTGGTTTTCGTTTGTCGTATGTGACAAGTAGGGGGATTTGCATTCATACCATACAAATTTTATGCATTTATGCATGTGACACCATTACATTGATATTTTTTACATAACATTTTAGTGTCTTAATAGTCCTCTGATCATTTACATGGGATCATTTCAATTCCAAAGTCTATAAAAGTGCCAAATTCATCCGGATAATCTTTAACTGTGGGGTAAAGTGGTCCTCCATGGGGACTATTTCAGTCAATATTAAAAGAGTTTTAGGGACTAAATTAGCATTTTTAAAGAATATGGGATTAAATGATCCTCTGCAAAGTAATGGTACTATTTTAACACTATTCTCTATAAGAAAAGGTATATATGGTATGCCTGTAAATCCCTCATAATCAGCTATGCTTCAACCGGCCAAAAAGCGAAGAAAAAGAAAAAACATCAGTACCTGCATTTGTCATGGAATCCATCATTGTCATGTACCGTTTGATCTTGGCCTGACTTTCTTTCTCATGACCCTTCGGCATAACCTCTGCACTAAATCCAGGCAGCATGGAGAACACCTGCAAGCCAGAAAAAAAAAAAGGGGTGTAGGTGAAGTCTAAATGAAGCCAGGCTCTACAAAATCAAAAGAGAGAAGTGTCAAAATTGTCTCATAGCTCTTTGTATTGGGTTATTTCCGTTTCAGAATATATAAAAGTGTCAATTTAGTCCCAAAACTCTTTTAGTATGAGATGAATTAGTTCCCACGGAGAACTATTTTAGCCCCTACTAAAAGTGTTTGGGTCTAACAATAATTTTATAAAGTCTGAGATTAAAATGACCATAGTCAGAGAACTATTTTGACATTTTACTCGAAATCCAAATTAAAAATTAAAAAAGAAAAAAAAAATTGCAGCAGACAAACCTGTCCAATTGGGCCCATTTTAAGTATGTTCTGGAATTGCTCATACATGAGTCGGAGGGTAAAACTTCCTTCAGAGAGCTTTTGAAGAAGCTCTGGCTGTTGATCAGTTGGCACAACTTCCTGAATTTTATCCATGAAGCCAGACCAATCACCCATACCTAATGTTTGCAACAAAAAGATTATATTAACATGTAATTAACGAATTAAGCATAAACAGTGGGGTCATATAATTTACCTAAAAGACGGCTAACAAATGGTTTAACATCAAAAATTTCAAATTCATCCATATGCTCTCCAGTTCCTATGAAAATGACGGGGCTTTTTGTTGCTGCAACACTACACAAAGACCAGAAAGAGTATTGGGCTTTGAATAAGAGAACAATGACCTTAAATCACAATTACACCACAGATCAGAAGATAAAGTAAGCGCCAACACACAAACATAAAATTTGACGAGCAAAAAAATCAAGGAAAAAATGGGGCATTTACGTACATAGCACACAATTCTTATGTCTATACATATCTCACACCTAAACTTTCATATTTACATACATAACACTAAAATCTTTAATATCACCTCAAAAATAATACTATTATCACTTTCCTGTAGTGACATACAGCTTATCATGCATAGATTTAAAACACCAAAGTGCTATATATATATATATATATATATATATATATA